AGGTTTGCAATGACGATCTCTAGATGCTCCCGGTCTGTGAGTTCACCTTCTCGGTCACCCTCCCATAACCAGGGATTTTACCGCGAGTCTCGGAGCGATAACAGTTCCGGTTCCCTTGCCGTGTTTATTTATGAGCTCTCGACCAACACAGCCTGCTTTCATCACTAAACTTGAGTCAGCTGCTACGTAACCTACCCAGGGTGTTTGCTTATTCATTGCACCCATACGTGATATTATGTCAGATGTCGTCATGCATGTGGATGTGTCCGTATTTGATAGTAAGGTATGTGATGTTTGTTCATTTTGATCACTGTGGTGATCCACATTGCAGTCGTGTTATATTCAGAAACATCACCTTATTTGGCATGCATGGATATTGACCTTCAGAATTTACCAACATAACAATTAACAATATGCAACACCTCAAAACCTGGGAAGGTGCGATCTACAGCACACAGCTTAAGTTTCCTCATCCAGTCCGTTTCCAGTTTCCACTAAATTACTGAACAGGCTGCGACCTTGCTCATTTTTCTGCTGTCCAGCGGTCACCCTGCAGTGGACGGGGAGGGACGGGGGAGGGGGGGGGGGGGGGCTGCTGGCGCCGATGACTCAGACGCCGGCGGCGGCGGCGGCCCGGGTTTCCTGGTGAAACTGCCGACAGTCAGGGGCCCGACCCAGGTCAGCGGCGGAGCGGCACCGCGGGCCGCGGGCGGCTCTGTGGTCCCGCAGGGCTGCAAACGGCGGACGAACGGCGACTCGGTACTGTCAGACCGAGCAATGAGCGGATGACCGGATCTATTAGAGCTCTGAGCGGTCACCAGACGGAGGCCGGACCGCCACACCGAGGGCAGACCAGACTGTTCGCAGACCAGAATGAAGTCAGACTGCCAGACTAAGAGCAGGCTAGACTGTAAAAAGACCATATTGTAGCTCGAATGGAACCAGTCTAGCTAAATCAGATCGTTACCATTTTGCTGATAGCATAGGTTTTTATTTTACGCCTCCTGCAAGTCCTGCAGTCTGACCATGTCACCCTCTCCTCCTTCGGTCCACATCCTCTTCCTTCTATGGACCATATGGCCCCCATATGGGCTCCACTTCTGTCCCAGCCCCTCCCTCCACGCCCCATCCATTGACCGGGCCGGGCCGTCGGGCGGGCCACTGAGTGCTGCACGCCCCCGACCGCCGTCAGACTGCTTTATGATGTCCCATGGCCAACCATCCCCTTCCCCACTCCTTCCGGTCCACGCCCACTTGGCTCCACATTGGCAGGAATTCCCAGTGACGGTTGCATGGGTGAAAAAATCGGCACCGAATAACATAGAAATAAAATAACATAGAAACGAGCTATTTTTCCAAAGCTGCAGCGTGGCCGGAACACAGCCAACGGATGTTCCGTTCATGTGCTGGCGCTGCAGAGCAGGATTGTTTGATTCAAATGATGCCGTCAACGGTGGCTGTTTAGTGTTTAACGGCCGATAGCACTGTTCCTGCTCCATGATGAAATGAAATGGGCGCCAGCTTTGGTCGAATGTGTGCAGACAGAGTCAGTAAGCCGCGATGATAATGGCTGGGCTATCCAGCCACTACCTGGAATGTCCTGGCGCCCTGTGGAGTTAGTTGACATCGAGTAAACTTCCCGCTTCTCCCAGGAACTCTGCCGAGGGTCATTGTAGCTTTGCCTGAATCCCAGCAGTGCGACGTTTTTTCCTGAAGGTCGGGCCGACTGGTCCCATCCTGACCGGGAGCCGGTGGCCGTTCGCTGCAGACCAGCCGTGCGAAGGACACGGCCGCTCATTTCTGGAAGGGTGATTTGTTCATCCGTTACGCAACGCCGGCGGCGCGGCGGCCCGGGTCTTTTCAGACCATGATTCAGGACTTCTGAGCGGGCGACCCGAGTTCTCCAGAGCTGTGCAGCCAAAGTGGGAGTCGTGCTAATTTATTGAGCGAGTGCAGGGAACGTGCAGGTCTTTTCCGGGAGAAAAATGCAGCAGTGCTTACCGGTATAACGTCATCTGAATATTAACATGCAGCGAGGCGACTCTTCAGTGCTGACTTTCGTCGCTGATTGTCGGAGAGCACTGAAATAACTTTCACAGAAAAGCATGCGAAAGATCTTTGCGACATTTGTGCCAACCTGCTGCTGTAGCTGCACGGCTCCTTTGCCACTCGGCGCTCAGAGCCTCTCCTGCAGGCTGATCGGTCCGCTCCCCCCCCCCGTCGCCCGAGGACATGGGAGCGGCGCACGGACTACGGAATGCAGCGCCATGTTCTGTCGCGTGCACAGTCTCCATATTTGGGGGACACACCCTGCGCTGAGGTCGCAAAGAGCGGCTGCAGTCTCAGTCGCCGCAGATTGCCTATCGGTCACGCGTCAGGCTCGTGTCGATCCAACTTTGTGCGCCGCGCCTGCCTCAACCGGACCCTGCTCGGGGCGGGTCGGCCATACTGCGGCTGTCGCCAGCAGGCGTCGGCAATCATGGCTGCGGAGACGGACCGACCGCAGGCCCGGGAGCGATGGATAGTCTGTGGCAGACAGGTCGACTTGCTGGGCGACAAGGTCAACGACGGATCTTGCAGTGACATGGAAGGAATGTGCAGACATGTGACCATACGTAAGGTCGTAACCTGAATCTTCATGGCTAAATTAAACGGCGATGAGTGCCTGCTAAACACTGGATCTATACTTAAATGCTTAACTTCTGGCATGCCGCATGGATCTCGCCCATTCGAAACTTAACGTTGCAACATCTCCGCAACATACGGCACATAAGTCACCGTCGATGTTCGGTGTGTAAACACCAACAGCTGCTCTGGCGTTCGTGTGTTGTCGCACACCGTCCCTTGGCGTATGTATAGCTCCGATCCTTCGCTCCCGCTGCCCAATATTGATCAACAGCGCAGCAGGTCCCGGCTGACGGGCCACGTCCACAACTTACGTAAGCCGCCGCGCCGTCACTGTTTCTGTCGGCACCGATGACAGGTGCGCCAGTTTCGTCTCAGCTCTGTCGGGGGCCCGGTCCCCCGGGCTGCTGACCGACCTGGCACCGCTGACTGCCGTCACGTGCTCGTGTTTTGGGGGCCGCGGTGACCGGTGAGTGACGTGGCCGTACGCGGCTGACGTGTTACTCTGTGTGTGGAGGTTTCCATGGCTGTTGGCATTGCGTCAAATTCGCAGTTATTTGCTTGGCTTGAGACGGCCGACACGGCTATTGACACAGGACGACTTAATCCTGCGTAAGTGGGTTTGAACCTGTGCTTAGCCGTATTTGTACCGGGTTTGCTCTGAGACTTGCATTTATTACTGAGTGACGTATCTCATCATTGAACTGATGTTCATCAACTCACACAATGCTTGCAATTAATTGAACAGCAACATGGCAGATGAAACAGTCTCGCGGATATGCGAACCGGAGTCAGGTTGTTTACACGGATGGCACAGTGCAGGTGAAGTACAGAGGGGAGGGGAGGGGCAGATGCCAGACGGCGCCCCTCGCTGCGCAGCGCCCTCACCTGTCCTACGATGACGTCACAGATGTTTGGGTGTGACGTCATACCCCGCCTTGCTCCGACCCAGCACTGTGCCTCGCCTCCCCTGTGGCCCCCCTCCGTGCTCAGCCGGGTGCCTCCTGACCCACATGGGCTTCTGAAAACGTGCTTTGTATTCCTTGCCTTTGTGTGCGCTGTGTGTTCCTGCCAGGTAGAGGAAAAGAAAAGAAAGAAGCTTCGTCATCATATCTCATGGCTCCATGATCCCGAATGAAATGCGCTACGATGCTGCGCAGTATTTTGCACACGTCGCGAATCGTTTCAGTACGAGTGTGAATGTTGACATGCCGTGTTGTTGTTGGCGTTGATGAGATGCCATAGTCAATGACCCAGGTGGTCGACCTTGACTGACAACAAGGCGACTCAGGGGCCCGAGCTCGGCGCGCTCCAGCTGGGTGCGGTTTCAGCTGGCTCGTATCGGGTGAAACATCCGACGTTCGACGTGAGCCGTAGGTCAGAGAATCTCAACACGGTGCCCGTGAGAGTGACCCGATCGGTAACTAACCGTACTGAGGCTCAATTTGACGTCCAGAGCTGAGAGCCCCATCAAGGCTGCCCGACGGGCTCTGAGAGCCGTTCCTCAGCAGATTGCAGTCCCCTATGTGGCCGGTATAGACGGGCATCTGAGTCGGATCGGACGCCGCGAAATAGCTCACATTCTCCGGACTGCGCTCTGCGTGGGCGGCGGTACTGCGAACGTCCTATCGACGGCGGCGAGACGGCTCGGATTGTCGTCGGCCGGGCTCCGTCAGAATCCAGCTCTGAGCGGGCCTGCTGTCGATTTGGGTCAGCGGCCGGCGGCCAAAAATACGCCCGGTCACACGTGGCAGTCTGGGAAGGGTTCAGCTGAGCCTGTGCCATAATTGGCTTACCAGTAATGGCGGAGAGGCATTAATTACGAGGTGGGATTAAAGCTGGCCATTATTATGTGCTTGGGCGTCCGCATTTATGGTATCATGGCCAACTTGGCATTTTAAATTACCTTTGCTTCAAATAGGAAACTTTCACTGAGGGTTTACCGTGACTTGCGACAACAGAAGTACCCATATCTCATTTTAAGGTAAAAGTGCTCCTTTCTTAATTCAATTAAGTATGAAGCGCGAGCACAGTTAAGCTGTTGCCGCCTGGTATGAAACGATGCGGCGGCGCTCCACGCTTCGTGCCGTGCGGCGCAGTATGCCTTCAGGCGTTTACACTAGTGCCATCTAGCGTCGAAATTGTAATATTCGCCTACGCTGTGTCGTGCTCGTAAATGCTCGCTCAGTTTTGCTCTAACTGCTATTGATAATGCTCGTATCCATTATTTTTACGTAGCCGATCCAACAATCTCAATAATACCGGCAAGAAAGCGATAGTTTTCGGACTTATCTCCTCGTATTGTGCTTACAAATTGGTTAGGTGCTTCAATTATTACCTGTCTTAGCTAATAGTTCGTTTTTTGTTTGTTTCAGGCTGCCAGGGAGACATCAGTCTGCTCGGAGGTGACGGCGACACTGCCAACGCCAACAAAAGGTGAGCGGGTCGTCGCAGAGGACCAGGGGAGTCCGAAACTTCAGACAGCATCCCCTCAGCTCACGACTTAGTGCATAGATATACTCAATGCAGCACGCCATTGGCTGATGCGGGAGATATGCGCTGCATGGTGCATACCGAATGAAATCGTCGTATGCAGCCGAATGGTAACGCGGGGCGGTGTCGATGCAAATAAAGGACCACCACCAATACACGGCTGGTTACTGCGCCATGGTTACCATCAGTATGGGTGTAACATACCGGACTTAGGAGCCGGTTTGTCCGAGGACACTTACCCACTTACCCAATACCTACCCATTGTTTGGCTTATGTAGGTTCATTGAGCTCTCTTTTTCTTGAAAGGCACAGTTCGGGATTGTATCTATTTCTAAAAGCTGTTGTAAGATAGAAACGCAATTAACAAGGAATGGCCATAGGTAAGAGGTGATTGCAATGGTGGAATACGTTTCATCAGCGCTCTCATTCTTGCCGAGCGCTGGTTTGTCTATATGGGTCACCCGGTTGACCACCACTCGATCGAAGCTATCCAGGGCCGAAGCTAACCTCCCAGCACAGGGCCAGGTGAGTGGCGTCGGCCGTGGCCCAGTCACAGCCGCCGAACGAATGACGCTGTCGGAGGCCTCATTGGACTGGCCTCCGTCCGAATTTCCACTGAGTAGCGGGGCTGGCTCACCCGTCCACCTCCGGGCTCCGACCCAGCTGCGTCAGTCACGTGGTCAGAGGTTGAATTTTTGAATGAATTCGTGGCCACCCACGTGACTGGGTTTGCGTCCCGGCTTACCTGCTCATAGTCTTCATCATCTACAGCACGGGGCACGTGCATGGCACGCGCTCTACAGCCGTGGGCATGGGAACCGATGGGAATTTTCCTCTTCGCACCGCGCATATCGTCGGCTGCCACCGGTTCTGTGTAGCACCCCCCCCCCTCCCCCCCGCCGGTCCGCCCCCCGCCGCCACTGCAGGACGCGTCACTGCCTACGTCACGGGCCGGCTCCGACTACTCAGCCAGCCGGCGGCGGTGACCGGCCAGTGTGCGACCAGCTCCCGGGCGGAGAGTACGAACACGCAGCGCTGGCCGCTGAGACAGAGCTTACACGAGTCAGGTGCATTCACCCAGCTTCAGGGAGTCAGTGATCAGTACAGTGGCATTGGAGGAGCCCACAAACGACGGTCAGTGATACAGAGCGGCAGGAACTCACTCGGAGCTCAGACCAGTCAGGGACTGAGGGACGGCCAGCGAGCGGACCGGGATCAGTGAAGGCCGACCTCTCTCCGACCAGCCAGGATGACCATGTTTGAGGAGCCGCCGTCGCCGCCGGCGTCCGAGTCGACAAGGAACCGGATCGCTGCGGACCTGGAATGGTGAGAGGGGGAGACGAGGACAGCGGGTGCCGCGGCCGGGGTGCTGTCAGGGGCCAGAGTCAGGGTCGGAGGGGTGCCACGCCCCCTTTACGAGACTGGTGTGGGGGATGTGTCCGAGACGGTCCTTAGGGATACTTAGACGTGTTAGTTGAATACCTTGACAGATATTTGTGCACCTTTTATTAAACGGGTCCCGGGACTGACGGCGGTGGCGTATAATCCGTCTCCAGGGCAGCTGAAACGCGCCCGTTGCGGTGGTGACACTAGCTGCAGCTACTCTGGGAGTCGCCCAGCTTTACTGCTGTCCAATACTCGGGAGTCTGTGCCTGTCATCTGGTAATTGATACATAGGATAGACCTGTCGAACGAACCGGTCGATCAGCCGCGTACCGATGTACACTGGGGAAACATATACCTGGCATATACTATCGACGCAAGCGATTGACAACCGCATATGCTCATTGCTCAAGCACTCCGTGGAACCTTTTCATCGTTATCGTGTGTTGAATTTTAGCTTTTGGGCTTAAAAACGAACATATACCTACGAGGCAATTTAACGTTTTCACATACACGATGCCACCGCGATCCTATTTCAGGTGCACGCAGTTCACATAACCAAGCGTGTCGATTTCTCCAGCTAGTTACATAGCCGTATGTATTTCCTCTTTCCCCGACATCGGGAGCTGCTAAGCTGTACGGCGAATTTGAACGGCGCCGGTTTTACGGAATGGTCTGTCACGAAGGCAGCCATGAAGCCCGTAACGCTACGTGTCTGCGACAAACAGCTGCTATTATTGAATGCCCTTGCATTCCATCAAAAATGTCTGTGGTAAAAACTGGCTATCGTTCAACGATGAACGATTTGATAATATGTTTTCCTCCACGAGCCGCTAAGGACGCGCCCCAGTTCCGAGTTTTCCAAACTGTGTGTTTGACGGCCCGTTAGCAGGCGGCACACCCATTTCCCGCTCCGTTACAAGCTGCAGAGGCGCCCGTCGCTATCGCCGGACCGACGACTCGGCGCCGGCAGTCAGAAGCCCGAGCGGGTGTCGGGTTTGTCAAACTGCGCCCTTCTGAGGCCGTCCGTTGAACCCGTTATATAAAACCACGGCCCGGGCCATTCCGCTGCGCGATATAAATAGAACTGAACACTTCCAGAAAGCTGTCAGAGGGAAGCAATCAGTGTGACTATTTTAGGGGTAGCTGTCAACACCAATAACTGACTGATCTTACACGACACTTGAAAGAGATAACTTTTAATTTTACATTCGCGGACGGACGAATTCCGACTAACCTGGTCGAGTGTTTCTTGTTCGATACGCCTCTCGAGTACCTCTTCATCCGATTACAATGAGCGACAAAACGCTGAACGTGACGTAAGTTTCGACGAAGAATGAAATATAAACAGCTTGAACTTCACGCTAGTGGTGACATCACACTGGTACGCACGAACTTGACGTCACGTCGTAAATACTTGAGGCCGATCGAAACGGATCAGTACCTAGTCTTCTCTACATATGCCAAGCTGCATAGGCGATGGGTAGGTACCAGGGATGTCCCTCGCAGGGCATTGCCGCTGTGAGCCGTTCCGATCCGACCTGCACCGGGTCGCCCACAGTACGAGGAAGGACGGTATTCACCTGCACTGAACGAGGAAGGGCACATTCGGCTGATGCAAGAGCGCGCTGCAGCAGCGCGGGGTGAGAGCTGCGGCGGCTCGGCCCACGAGCCGGGCTATCCCCCTCCCCGCCCCTCCCCACCGAACGTCCCGCGCCATCGGAGGGCACTTCTGCCCGGGGGCCCGTTCGGGGAAGTCGGCGGCCGGCTGCGTTGGCGGCGGGTGTGCTGCGCAGGCTGTGCGCGGTCCGGTCTCGCGCTGCTGGACCGGCTGGCACCTGTCCTGCCGGTCAGCCCGCTTTGCCAGCCGCAGCCGATTTCTGCTGAGTCACGCCGGCTCCGGGATGCGATGGAGGCGAATATTCGGGTACTGTGACGTCACTGAGGAATTCCGCGAGGCCACAACACAGCTCTGGAAGCCCACCTGGTGTTACGCAACCCGCTCTGGAACTGTGTGTGCGCCGCCGGCGGCTGGAGTATCGGAGGCGCATTGTGGCGGCTTATGTAAATACGATCGGCGGCGCAGAAAACCCGAGTGGGACGATTTCACCAGAAGTAGCTTTCCATAAACACAGCGATGCTTTGTAGCGGTTGATTATCAGAGCCGTAGCATATATCTATGCAATGTGCAATGTGCATGCCGTTTACCATTCACAGATACATTCTGTTGAATAATCAATTATCCGTGCATTTCTATCGTCAAACTGTCTGCTTCCTAGCGTCCTGATTGAGTCTCCATCCTCCCCTGCCGTCCTGATTGAGTCTCCTTCCTCCACCTGCCGCCGGGACGAGCAGTGTGTGGCAGTTCCCCTGACTGAGTCTCCTTCCTCCACCTGCCGTCCTGACTGAGTCTCCTTCCTCCACCTGCCGTCCTGACTGAGTCTCCTTCCTCCACCTGCCGCCGGGACGAACAGTGTGTGGCAGTTCCCCTGACTGAGTCTCCTTCCTCCCCCTGCTGCCGGGACAAGCAGTGTGTGGCAGTTCCCCTGATTGAGTCTCCTTCCTCCACCTGCCGCCGGGACGAGCAGTGTGTGGCAACCACATCGATCTGGCCGACAGCGACCCTGGAACTTCAGGCGTGCGCCGCCTCCGCGAACCACGCCCGTTTTTACCGCTCTTCTGCGTTCTCTTATGTGGAACTTTACCGTCGAACGAGCTCCGAACAGGATACGGTGTTTTACTTGTGACGCCGGCCCGGCTCAGATCTGGAATATTTACTTCGCAAAGTGGGATTCAATTTCATATGATTATAATTGTTTAAAATCGTTGTTAGATTAACTGACCGACAGAATGTCCTCAAAGGGAACTGATCCTTTTGACGAATGATCGGTGCTGAAATACTGAAATGAGTTGAAACCTCGCATGGCTCTCACAGTTAGAAAATAAGTTTACGTACCTCACGACTTCGACCTACCCATACGGGTGGTTTTCTCGCTGGTCTATATCAGAACAGAAAGTGAGCCCGCTATTGACCCTTGAAACATTAAACGGGCACTATTTACGCCCATCCTCGACCGTCTATCGGGCACTCTATCGACAAACACGAGGAGCGGGACCCGCAGCGGTTACAGAACTGCGCCTCTCGTCCCAAACACCAGCTCCTTTTGCAGCGTCGGCTCGTGTCCCCGGCTTGGGAATGGCGCATTGCGTCTCCCGTTCAAGGCTGCATATAGATCAAACCTGCGGCGTCCGGCGGAGACGGAGCTGCCGGCTCACAGTGACAGTCGACTTCGTAGGTCGTAACCGATAATATCGGGCGCTGCCTTATCCGGCACCTTCGGATTTTCTCCTCTGTGGGTGGCGTCAACTTACGGATATCCCGGGTTTTTATTGTGCCCGACCGAGCACAGTCCATTGGGCTGCTCAAAGGCCTTCCATGCTTCCCTTGTCTTCCCAACCACAGCTGTGTGTGATCGATGTCGTCTGCGGGCTGAAGGAGGGCCGCATGTGAGTGAAAGTGGACCTGGACGCATGTCTAACCCTCTCTTTCTCTCTATTACAGCGCCATCTTCCGTGTGCGGCGCTTCTTCGACAGTCTGCACCGTGGCGACGGCTCGGCACTGGTGGAGGACACGTCGCCCGTTCCTCCGGAGCGGCGGAGCCTGGCGCTGCGGCGCTACCTGCACCGGCACCGGCTGCAGCACAGCCGCAGCTCGCCGGCGCGCCAAGGGTCGCTGGCCACCGCCGCCAAGCCGGCCGACAGTCCGTGGCCGTCGCCGGCGCGCGGACGGCGGCAGCCGCAGCCCCAGGCCGCCCTGCGAGACGTCCACTCCACGCCGGAGGTACGCACCGCCCACCGCCCAATCGGGTAGAATGTGAGTATCGGGACAGGCGACATGCTGTACCTGATACTTGAGCAGCTGGAAAAATAAGTGCTCCCATCATGGACCGTCTCACTTGCAAGCGTTTCCATTCTCTATTGCGATAAATTTAAATTTGTTTTATCCATGCTCTGGTTTTCCATTTCCCAAGCGAGCAAATAGTCTCGTATGCCACAAAACATTTCCATCCAATGGATGGAGACGACCATCCGTTCCCTGTGTTCCGATCCATTCCAAACTTTCCCCGTCCATTCGGGTCCCGCCTTGCCATGTCGCCGGCTGTATAGCGGTCCAGACTGGCGTCAGGGGCCGCTGGATCAATGGACCGCCCAACCAGGGTCAAGGGTCACTCGGGTCACTGCGGCGGTCGGCTCTGACGGGTGTCGCTCGCACGGACCGCCGACGGTCACGTAATCAATACAGCCCGTCTGTGACCCTGGGCCGGTGCGATCCCCGGGACACACGCGGGCTTCACTCTGAGGGTCGCTGTCCCCGCACTGCGGCGCACCTACTGGAGCTGCGGAGCGCGGGCGGTCAGACTTCCGGGTCCCAGCAGGGCTGAGGCAGCGCTGTCCGCCCCCCCACCCCGGCAGTGTCCTCAGGCCACGCCCTCCCTGTCTGCCACGCCCCTAACGGTGCAGGGCGGAGCTCATGCCACAGCGGCTGGAAATGCCACAGCAGCTCTCCCCATGACCTTTGTTGGTGGGGTACCGCGAAACGCAATGCCTGTGGGCGTTCAAATCAGTGCAGAATGGAGTGTGACGCACCAGTGGGATGATCAGCCCATTCCTGGCGAGCCTTGTTGCGTGTTTGTGTGGACGCGTCACACCTGTGCGGGGCCGAAACATCCCGGGATTCGCCCCGATGGAATGTCCGTTGGGCGGCGCACATACCGACATAGCGTTCAGCTAGCTCAGCCCATCCTGCCCCAGGGATGACGGTCCTGAAATGTTGTTTCCATCAGACCACTCAGCTCAGACCGGACACATTTATCGAGTTGGCGGGCCCAGAATAGCTGATGTCGAAGTCCAGAAGTTGGCTTCTTCCACTGAACCAGTCGAATCCTCATCACTGGTGACAGACTATGGGCGCGGCGACGTTGCGAAGTTGGCCTCCGGGGCTCTTAAGATGTTAATTTTGTTCATTCTGTCTGGTGGCTATTTTGGCCAAAGTTCACTGCGCAGTACATTCCGACTGGCGGCGGCACGACACGGTTTGACGTCATCCAGGGAGCCCTGAATGACGCCCGAAACGGCACAGAGCGGCGAGCGAATGAATTCAACTATTGGCGGACTCTGCCGGTAAATGTGTGAGAGGTTCATGTTTCATTTGTGCGCTATTCATACCGGGAGTTGGACGGCTGCGCTGACTCCCCTGGGTTGAACTCTGGTGGCGCCGCAGGTCTGACTGGCTAAGCCGGTGACATTCAGACAGACCTGCGGTAATCCGGTGCGGGTAATTGAGGGCCACAGGGCTGGTTATCAGTCCTTTGATGGCCGTCCCGACGGATACTCTCTAATCCCCCGGTCCCGCACCCTCGGACTCCCCAGGGAGACCGCTCCGGTGCGCCCCCGATCAGCTGGGGCTGTTTTGATCCCGGTCTGTCACCATCCAACCATACGGTAACCCGATCCCGGCAGGCCCGACCCTCCTGGACCCTGGCACCCGACCCTTCCACCCAATCTGGCCCTACCCTGCCGACTGTTCGACCCAGCCGCCCGGCCGCTCGGCCGATCGGTCGGTTGTTCGGGGGACTGCCGCGCCGCCGGGGGGCGTCGGTGGGGATGGGGTGGCGTGCCGGCCGGCAGTTGGGTGTCGGGCGCCGGCGGCGGCGGACGGCCCGGTTTCCTCGTGTCTCCAGTGGCACACCATGCCGTCGATCCGCCTCCTGGACCGCCTCCGTCGCCGGCTGCACAGCCACCACGCGTCCGGCGGCACAGCTAACGCGACCGGCACCGCGCTCCGGCAGGTGTCGCTGGGCGAGGACACGCTGTCGTCGGCCAGCAGCCTCACCAACGTGTCGACCATCAGCAGCAGCTACGTGGGCGACGAGCTGGACCTGGACGACTGGGAGGACGACGGCCAGGAGGAGGAGCACTACCCCGACCAGGACTGGCTGACGGTGGACCGCAGCGCCGCTCAGCTCACCGTCGACAGGTGAGCACATCACAACCGTGCACCCTCTCACATTCTCACGTTCTCGCTGTTGAATTTCGATAGGTAGCCGCCAAGCTCTGAGGGATGACTGTGTTATGTTGCGCCTGGGATGTGTGTTTGTGCCACACAGTGGTGATGTTTACTGTGGTGCGATGATGAGCCGGTAACGTAATGAGCCTGTATGTTTGTGTCTGTGGTAGGCTGGTCTGTGATGTTCTCGTCTGTTGTCGGGTGACTGATGCGGCCGTTTACACGGCGGCCCCGCTGTGTTGGCGGCCCGGGCGACTGTCAGGGTTGGCTGCAGCTCGCCTCAGTGACGTCAATGCCGTCTGGCGCTAGGCGCGGCTTTCCCCCGATCCCACAAGTTGCCACAGTGTTGGCCCGTTGTCAGGCGCTCAGTTTCGGGAGCATTAGCCTGTTGGCAGTGGTAGCAGCGATGGCGTGAACCGTGCGGCTGCATGGCGCCATTGTCCAGTTTGGATCGGCCCTCAACAGCCTAACCCACTCGATACCGACCGCATGACATTTCGGTGAAATCGGCTATCGATGCTGGTCGCCTTATGTGTCGTAGTTTCATTTCCCCGCACGTCATGTTGTGCAGCGTCTGACGACACTGTCCGATACCGTCCCCCGCTGACCGCAGGCGGCAGGACCCCTCTGACCACTCTGTCCGGTACTGCGCCTCCCCGCTGACCGCCGGACACCCCTCTGCTCGCCAGGAACTCCTCAGCGGCGTCCAGTTTCCGCTCGGGGATCCACTTCACGGCGCGCGCGTGCGCCACTCCGTCCAGTGTCGGATCCGGGATCCAGTTCTCTGTGGGTCCGGCCACGGCCGCATCCAGCTTCAGCTCGGGGATCCACTTTTTCGCGCCGCCCGCCATGGAGTCGGCCCACGACGAGTTCGCGCCCAACACCCTCACGGAGGAGTACGGCAAAATGCTCACCATAGAAGATCTCAAGGATTACAACAGTAACTGCCTCACGTAAGTGCATGTGGTCCTGGAGGGGCCTTGGGTGTTGGCCAGGTCAGCAAAGTCCTTGGATGTTTATCGACCAGTGTTATATAATTGATCAACACACTATGACGACCTTCATTTCGAAAGGCCAGAGTGATAAGTGATGGTGCAACTTTTGTTTGTATTCAATTGAGGCGCCACTGGGAGTTTGTCGGAAAACTTGCGACGTAATCCCGATCCATGATCTGACTTGTCCACTGCCCCTAGATCTGACCGGGACCTGCCCTGTGATTTGCCCTATGGCCTGACCTATGATCGGTGACCTGACCTGACCCGTGTGCCCCTCAGGTGCGGAGTCAGCTGGCGGAACGAGGAGGCGTCTCTGGACTGTAACGAGTGTGGAGGGTACCCGCTGCGCCGGCCGTGCCCTGAGTGCTGCGGGCAGTGTGGCGCCGTGTGGGAGCGCGACCTCACCAAGGTGAGAACCGTGAAATGCGAGAGGGGTGTGGGGGGTGGGAGGGTGAAATGTAGGCAGTCCAGAGGCGTTAGCAAGGCGTCGAAGATTCGAGTTTGTGAGATGTCAGCTCAAAGTATATGATACGACCTGTGGGCCCATGAATCTTTCAAATCTGTGAAACCGGAGGCCGAAAATCGAACACGCTCCGCCGCCTCCGGCGGCCGGCCGCAGCCAATCGGTGGCTCCCTGTGCGACACCTCTGGGTCGGCACAAATTGGTGACACATGCGCGACGATCATCACAGCTGTGTGGCAATCTGCAGCAGATGCTGAATGATTGCCGTTCGTGACCGATATTAATCAGCGCAACTCCGCACCAGCATCATTGACGGCGTCCTTCACGTGTGACTGCGACATAGGACCCTAGTTCGTCATACGGTGACCTGCACTTTGGACCACTACCCCTCATGTGCCATGTGACCTTGACTTTTGACTGGCCCTCCGTTTAGAGCGCGCATTGGCTGTTGACCATAGCCCCTGAAGCATAACCTTTGGCCACTGTCTGTTGGGCATCAACTGTGACCTTTGACCTTATAGTGGCGGCTGTAACCTGCACCCCGTCTGACCTCCTGGCTCTCTGTGTTTCAGTCGCACGACAAGGCGCTGGCCGCCTTCTCCGGAGTGTGTCTGTTCCAGCCCAACAAGGGCAGGTGCCAGCACATCGCGGCCGCGGCCGGCGGCAGCTGATGGCCCGCCCGCACGGCCGCCGGACGGCCCCCACCCCTAGGCCAGGTCGAGAGGCGCGGGCCGCCGCCACACACCGCTGTGAATTGTGTCGTTCCGTCGCGATTGCCACTGTTGGATTAACCGGTTCGAGCGCGGGCGCGCGACAGACTCGTGCGCGCAGCACTGGGGCAAAGTGACTGTGTTCTGCGTCTTGTTTACCACTTATGAGCGAAATAAAGTTGCTAGCATTACTCCGGCGCGATTTTGGAATGGTTGGTGTCTGGGAATCCGAAGCTGGATCTGAGAAGGAACGCGGGAGTGATATGCGAACAAGTCACCGCAGTCACCTTAGGAACTCAGGGAATCCACAGCTATGGACCTAAGGCACCTATCATTTGTCTGATCATCAATAATTTCCGCTACAGTGCACTACCGGAGCCGCACACACCTTCCCGGATCATTGCTCGAGGGACACTTCCGTCTACTTCAGTAGGCCGTCTTCGAGTCGGCCTAACTGCGCGCCCTGAGCACTGAGCCCCCAGGCAGCGAGTAGAGGCGACCTTGAACCGTCGCCGGAACCCCGGGCGATGGCCGACCTTACATAACCTTGACGCCAACACGAGCCCACCAGAGGCAATGAAATGAACCAATGAAATGAACCAAAACACATGGAAATAAAGCTGCCTCATAAATCACAGGAACACATTAATGTTTGCAGTCGGAGTGATGAAACTCGGCCATGTCGTGTACGGGATGTGATAATAGTTCCAGTTCGGGTGAGTTGAATCAATCACTCAAGCGGGAGCCATTTGATTTCAAAAGTCTACACAAGAATGCGTTTTGTCGGCACTTCCCGCACGCCTCAGCCAGAATTAAGTAGTCGGCGTTCCTCCAATCCACAAAGCTGATGCATTCTTTGACTGGTCCATGTGTTGGCGTCATAAACGGTTTTAGGGCGTTATTGGAGGTTTCTGTTTCCATGACAACAGTGCCTCGCACACCGGTAGTGACGTCAGCACGGTGCCGTAAATGTCCCCCGTTGTGAATTACCCAAGGCCGTAGCCATGCGTTGCTGGATCGCTTACGTCATTCGATTGAGGCTGAGCTAAGGTATTACACAATTCGATGTAATACTACAGTTATAGCCATCGGTACCGCCATATCGAAAAACGCTCGGACAGGGGAGGACCAGGCTAGCCACTACCATACGGTCTTTTCCCTGTGACACGTAATAGGTATAGCCGATGAGGAGGGTGTGTAATCTACAACTATAAGCCACCACAGCGGCGGGTCGATCACAGCTCGCTCCGGACGGCGGCCGGTCCCAGATCAGGCCCGGTTAGCGGGAAGACCGCAAAAGTGACCCACCTCGAGCACTGTATGCACCTCACTCGCTGTCTGAGTGTGCTCGCCGGCACTCAGCATTTAACCCGCGACCGCCTGGGGGGGGGGGGGTCGGATCCGACCCCCCCTCCGTTTTTCTTAAATAACTCAAGAACCGCTTACGCTATCAACTTGAAACTTGGCATACCTTCTCCCCCATCAATTTGACGTGTTCTGTGCGCAATTTTTAAGAAAAAAATTTTCAAAATTTTTTGAGATATATCGATTTTAGTGATGTAACTACATGGCGTTTTTAGTCAAAAAGTGGTAAATGTTTAAAAAATCGCCAAAAATCAGGGTTTAAAGCAAATTGCAAATTAAGGACATGAAAAGACGCAGCTCAACGAGTTCTTTAAAATGGCTATCTCGGATTTTCCATAAAATGCGTTTTTCGCCCCTAAAAATTCAAAAAACTACATTTTTTGGAAAACAGCTAATAAAATCCAAAATTTTGAGAATTTCCAAAAAACCGGAATATATGTTATAGAGCTCTATTAGAACATTAGATGTCCCAAATTTCAACTTTCTATCTTGATTTTTGACCCCCAAATTGTAAAAAATAGCTTCAACATGCATAGGGCATGGTGACGTCATAAGCATTTTCGTGAATTAGAGGCACTTCTGAACATCGCATGTGAAAACAAATGACACCACTAGATTCCTGGGACAAAGCTTGTCTAGAAAAGTGCATTTTTATGTCAAAAATAAAAAGTTGAAAATTTGACCTTTTTTCTCAGCCCTCGTTTAGTTATGTATGGTATAAACGATTTTTTACGCTTTCAATGCACACTTATCACCAGCACAGTGACTTGGGGTCACATATAACCATTACCATCGGATTCGGCGTGAAAAATAAGCCATAAAACATGTGTCGCACGCCCATGTAGCAGAAAGTGAAAACCGTGACCTTTCGTGACCTGACCTGACCTTGACCCGTACTTAGTATGACCCCTATACGCACATGGTACCTTCACTAGGCCTTTGAGGTCATTTTTGGTGAGTTTCGAGCAGCAGCTATCGATTCCGCTGTCCGTAAGCCTAATCATGCAAAACCCCAGAATTTGACCTTTGACCTGACCTTGACCCGAAAGTTGACCTCAATCTTAAAATCTTAAGAGTGCTTTGGGAAGGTCTCGTAGAGACCTTTCGAACGCCGCCTCGCGGGGCTCGATGCGACCATTGGTTCTCGAGATAACAGGGGGGGGGGGGTCGGATCCGACCCCCCCCCCCCCCAGGCTGTCGTGGGTACGGAAATAGCCCAGGCGGTGCCGGGTTAAAAGGAGCTCGGGGTGATTTTCCTCTAACTCTCCTGACTCTCGATGCCAGCCGAGTGTCTTCTACTGTCGCTTATGGCAGCAGCGTGGAGGGTAGTCAGTCATCAGAATAACCACCCTAGCGCCTGCAGGTGCCGCCTGCCGACCTCAACAGCGCCACCTTCCGTCCAAAACACGAGACGGAGCCCACCCGGCCGTATCTGTCCGTAGATTTCGCATGGGAAACAGACCCACGCTTGCCAGTTCCAAACAGCAGCAATAAATATTTGTCTCTTCACTAAGAGCATATATTGTGGGGAGTGACGCATTGACTTACAAGTAACAAACGAGACAAAAATACATTTCAATCTTCCTCTGTATATACGATGAACATGATACAAGCCACATTGTACACACATCTCAAACACATTCCGCCTACAAAGTCGCGTGCAGTTGATAATATAATTTGGCAACTTATCACCCATGCTACTCAGTGCATGTCAAACAATACCGGATCGTGACTACCTCGGAAGTGCTAAAAGGAGTGAGTAAAATGGTAGGAAGACTTATATTTCGAGGACAAAAAAAAAAAATCTACGTTCTTCGATGAATAGTAAAATATACTTCTGATAAGCGATCGAGTAATCGGAACACAAAATTGGAATGTCAGCACAGACATACTGCGCTCCGGTGCTCTAAGCTGCTCGAACATGACCGTAGTAACAATCATTTAACTGCAACCCACGTATGCACACACGCCCGATCAAGATGAACACATAGTTACCGAATGCTGCGGGAAAAGGAACAGTGTGGTTCGCGGACGAAACGCAGTCACCAGAACTATGGAAGGTTACGTACGGTTCCTTAAGGACATCCAGTCAACGGCCTTTGGACGGAAGTATTTTATACGTACAGGCATACAGTAGTTGCTCCGAGTACCTACAAGAAGGGACAAAATAATAGGAGTACACCTGCCCCTACCTACAAACGCATACACGCGTGAATAGCTCAGTACATGACATGGATGACTCAAAATTACGAACTCTGTCCTTTCGTAATACAGCTCCCGACAAATTCCACCTTAAAAGGGACAACAAACTATACCAATACCAAGGTGCAACATTTTGGTACATCTTGAAAGTGTTGGAACCGCATGTGGGCTTAACTCCGAAATACTTTTCATGTAAAAGAAATAATGTTCGTGAGTTGTGACATACCAAAGCTAAACGAAATAGCGAGGTTTCAGTCATTTACCAAAAGAATTCAAGAGATGCGGTAAAATACCGCTCAATGAATTAGGGAAGCCCCACGACCATCATAATGCTAAACACATAGAAACGGAAGCAATAATCTACACAGGAGAAACGCTTTAGTTCAGTAGCGGATGGAATGACGCAGGATAGCGATTCAACACAGGAAGAGATCGGGACAGACGACGGACGGTACACCACCGGACTCTGGGTCAGGAGCTCGCACGACCCGCTCCGGTACACGGACACTGCACACTCGCCTGACTTCCTACTAAAACCTCACACACCAGCACAGGAACACACACAGAACACAGACGACCTCGAGCCGTGCAAGCTGCCCACGGGTGAGATCATTACCGCTCCACAATTCGGCCCGTCAGAGGTTTACCAAAACACCCATCACACCGGCTCGCACATCCGGCGCTATTGCTCGGCGCCATCTCAGTTTGTCGGGTCAGAGTCCAGCCCGCGCTGAACACAGCGGCTCCAGAGGCCGGCCGAGGTCCGCGAGACCGCCCCGACACCTGGCGGCGACCTACCGAACCGACTAGACCGACTAAGCCCGCCGCGCTCAGTGAAGACTAGACTACTTTGGTTGTGGTGCCTCCGCGACCGTCCACGGCCTGGCTATGCCGAGACTTTACGAGCAACTAGTGTCACTTATTCCACGGTGGGTGATTGGGGCTCTCAGTTAGGTGACGCCATCAACGTCCCTTGGCCAGGCTCCGTTCGCTATGACTGCACTTAACACTTCGGAGCTCATACATGGTATGACGAATAAGTACGGACGGTCAAACGCTCAGCAACTAGCATTACCCATGACTGTCTACCAGTGTCTTCAGAACAACGCGTCCACAATTACACTAGGCCCTCGAATCTACACTAACACGTCAGAGGGGACCCGGCTTTTAGAGCACTCTTTGGTGGACAGCTAGCGCCCTCGCGACTCACAGCTTCAGGTGGCGAACCTCTCTGCTCCAGCACGTCTGCCCCGTCATCGAGTCCGTCATCGACTCCAGACTGTTGAGGAACGAGTCGTTGTCCAGGTTCTCCAGATTGGTCATCTCGTCTCCCAGCTCCTGCAACACAGCGCCAGTGCTGGTCAGGGTAGGAACTATAACTTCCACTCCCCGCCGTCAGATGTCAGCACACGGACCTCACGTAGCCCACATTCCAGACCGACTGACTCACGACCGGTGCGGTGATGGCGACCGGCTCGGGACGGACACGCACCTGGGGGTGGAGCGGCGGGGAACCGGCCAGCGCGCCCGCCGGCCGGCGCCGCTGAAGGGCGCTAAAAACTGGACACACCGCGCTCCGCCCGGCGCTCCCTGCCCCACACCGGCGCGCAGATCTAACCAAC